GTGTCCCTTGACCTATGTTTACATTTTTCAAATGTGAACAAAGGTGTCTTCAGTTACTAAGAAGGGTACCAGACTGTAAAGTTAAACACAACACAAGGTCGCTAGTGTACCCAGATATTCTTAAACTTAGTAACTGATAGTCATTCAGATACCTCAAAATTCAGTTCCAACAAATATGAATGAATTAACCCAATGAATAAGCAGCTTGTACTTCTCAGGGTGCTTCCTCTAGCAAACCCTTCAGTTCAGAAAGCCCTATAATAAAGATTCTAAAAATCTTTAGATTGTAAACGTCAACTGGCGATAGAAAAAATTGTCCAGAATCACCTGACGGTTTCCCTGGTTTGAAATATGGCCCCCGCTGCATTCTGGGAAAGAAGAGCGAGTGACTTACGACTACACAAAGGTGTATTTAGTCAGGGTCACCCACAGAAGACCCAATGAGGGGGCATTCTTCTCGTGTTCCTATTTGGAACTGGGAAGAGGAAGGCCAGATTGGCACCTCCCAGAAGGAAGTCTAGTTGGATTATCTAACAAAAGCTAGGAAGAGACTTCCAATCTTTTATTTAGCATCACTTGTCTTTCTCTACCTAGCACTTAACTCCTGTGGCTCCAGTGCCCACAGTACCAGAAACAGGGGAAAAGGATGTTAGAAGCCCCAGGACAAATAGGAAGGCAGGCAAAATTTCCTCACCTCATGGAATCTGAGACCTGTGGAGTGGTGAGCACAACCAGCTGCCGGGTAGTCCTGTGTTGTTGCAAAGATGAGCCCAGGACCAGGGCACCTTTGGCATAGGCATCGTTAGTGGTCAGTGTCACAAAGGCCTGATCTTAATACAAGGAAAAAAAAACCCAACATATTACAATATTTCTTAGCTGAAAAAGGCCTTTCCCCAGGTCCCCTCTCGGCCAGTAACTGAGCAAAATGACTTCCTCAGAGATCAGCTTGCTGTTACAAAAGCAACCGTTCCTTTAATGGGAAAACTCAAGCAGTCATCCAAGAATAGTTCAAGACTGTAGCTTACCAGGAATGTCTGACAACCTTTAAGAGGATCACCGGGCTACAAAAACTAAATCCCAGTTAGAATCCAGACAAACTCTCAGATCAAATGGTAGCTTAACCTGCAGGAGGTAAACGTTAGGGAACTGAGGGTAATAGGGGATGAAGAATTGCACTTCTGTCCTTACACGGCACCATGGGTAATATGTTCATCTATGCATAAATCCAAGTGTCAACTTCAACTGAGTCTGAGAGCAGAGGCTAGATTCCTCATTCCAGTGCATGTTCAGGCTGTGATTCCAGCTTTCAATATTAAACTTATTCTTTCCTCTACCTGGGGCAAAAGTTCCCTTACCCTATCACTCCTGAAAAGTAATTTCCAGTTTCTTCCTGCTTAAATAGAACCTCTTCTGACAGGTCTTACTTCCTAGTCACCAATCACTGAACTGAGAGCAGTTCTAACAAACCTGCCTCTTTCTCTTTTTTGTAGCTCTCGGGGGAGGGGGGTCCAATCCACGTGCTTCTGAGGCCTCCACATGGTAGGCAAGTGTTCTACCAACAAGTGGGGCCCCCAGCTTTTGTGGTTTGGTTTTGTTTTTAGATAACATCTGGCTGTGTAGCCCAGGCTGGCCTAACAATCACCCTGCCTCTACTTCCCAAGTACTATGATTATAGGTGTGAACCATGGTCAGCTACCTCTTCTTTGCTGGAAAAATAAGTGGTGTGCCCCTATTCTCCTGCTCCTCTAACAGCAACACTGACCTAGACACCAGTCTCCCCAAACCTTTGCAAGAACAGAAGGCAAACACAGATTATTCTTCTCACTGAACAATCCTCATCCAACCCGCCTTTAACATTTCCTCAGTGTGTTCCCGTGATAATTCTGTGCAGTACCTCGAAAGGGACTTTAACATTAGCAGGTTGATGGGCATTCAAAACACATAGGTGCACTTGGGATCAAACTCGGGCAGGTGTCATTTGGGGGCACTGCTGCCCAATCAGAGTTATGAGATTTTGTTATGGAGTCACTCTGTTTTGGGTTTCCTCTCTTTCCCTTGCCTATTTTCCGATGTGGTAGTGGAAATTCCATGAGAAGTTAGTGTGTTGTGGCTTGTCCTGGGGACCAGTGACAGCCCAGGAGCTAACCTGAAAGCCATTTCACCCATACTGTGGGGCCCTCTTTCAGCTAAGATATGGAAAGTTGAGAATTCCCTATCTCCAGTCAATTACATTCCCAGAAAGCTTGGGACAGACACCTGACTTGACACATGCATCAACCTGCACTGGTACCTGGTTCTGTTATCCTCAACACATGAGATGGTAACATTTCAAAATCATTCCACCCTAAAGATAATCTGAACATAATGAATTAGGTTTTAAAGTACAAGTGGCCCAGATTTCAGAAGCCAGTTGAGAAAAGTTTAATACGAATAGGATCCAAAGATTACAGGAGGGACGGACATGGTTTATTAGAATAAGAAAGGGAGAGGACACACGATTCTAAACTCGGGCTTAAACAGATCAGTAAATACTGTAAATGAGCCGGAAAGACCGATGACAGCTGGGTGCTTTAACCTTCCGAAAAGACATCTGAGCGGCCACGGCGGCGGTGTCCGGCAGTCCGAGCAGTGACGACCCGGCTGCCGGCTTCAGCTACACGGAAGGACCCGTTACCCCAGCGTCCTCCCCGGGGCAGATTCGCCCAGCGGCCCGTTCACCTCGCAGCAAGTGGCACCGAGGCCCGTCCGGGACCCCGCCGGCCCCCGCCCCCACCCCCGGCCCCTGGACTCC